CATCTCCAAAGAAAACAGTTCTTCAAGTAATCTTTTCTTGTCTTTGGTGAGATTTGAAGGTCATATTTTCCTGATGTGTTAAGGTCAGAATACATGAGTAATTGTTGAGATATAATTACTGACTTGAATAACTCCACTCTAGCTAGTCACAAGTTTAAATGTGTATGATAAGATTGATTTATTGTGGGCTGAAGGCTCATGGGAGTGAAGGATGTTTAGTCCCAGATCTCTCTGCCTGCAGGAGAAGCAGCAGCTTTAGCAGCCTGTGCCTCTAAGAACAGGTGTTGCTTCTCAGTTTCTCCATTTGAAGATTCAGCTTTTTTATTTGGGCATTACTGACTTTGCCACAAAACTGCGGTTTACCTAGGAACAGGGGCTTCAGTATTTCTATCTGCTGTTTCAAAGCTTCTTTACTCATAATGCTTCCACAACTTAACAGGCGTTACACTAAGCCCTGTTTTATATGTTTAAAACTGTAGCAACTTTACATTTACTCAGGTAAAAAAAAAGACAGTATTTTGTAATTTTATTTATTTTTAAATATGTATAACTTAAACTGCTTAGTAAAGAACACATAAAATGTATCTGATGTATTGTGATGGGATGAACATTGGACTCACAGATGATGGCTGTGTAGTCACCAGTCATGCATAAGACAGGTCCTCTATTTGGCTGGCAAACAAGGCATCAGCAACAGCCTTACCCAACAAGTAGGAAAATACGTAAATTCCCACAGTAACCTCTGGTTCTTATATACTCAGGGAGCAGTTCTCTCTTAAGCAAATTACCTTTCATAAACAGTGACTACAGGCCTGTAAAAGGCAAGTCTTTCAAGCAGTGTGACTGCAATTCAGTCTTTCTCACAATAAGAGAGAGCTGAAAGTGTACTGTCTTTCTTGGACTCATCTTCTTTGTGGATAAATCAGTATGAGACTTACTGTGGTCCAAAGCAGTTTGTTCTGTGGTCCAAAATCTTTTTCTGATCAATGCAGGTTTTTGTATCCCATTGTATGTATGGACAGCAATTTTGGAAAACGTTCAAGTAGCTAGGACTATGTTACAAGATAGTGAAAAACACTTTTTGACATGTGATATTTGAGTTCTAAAACAATGATGTTCCTATTCCACGTCATGAGAAACACAAGAGGTTTTTCATGAAGATGTTTCCTCATCATATTATGGGCAACAGTCCATAATTCTCAACAGGAGTAACACACAATCTGAATTAGACTTGTGGATCATCTCTCTTTCTTCCTTTCTGGTCCAGTGAATATTTAATTGTTTATACACAATGAAACAGCAAGAGAATTTGGGTGAGATTTTTCTTGCATAACATCTGGAAGTACTATTTTCTTTTTTCATGTTATTTTCACTGTTCATATTTTGACCAGAGTTATTTCATCTTTGGTAAGAGACGAGAATTCCCATGTAAAATTTCAGTTTTGACAAAGCAGTATTTTCTGGCCTAATAACTCTTTGGTTGGAAAATTCCAAAGCATAGGCCACATTTCACAATATTGCATAAGATGGGTGTTCTCAGTGTGTGATAATGTCTGATCAGTTTAGGCTCTGTATTATAATGCAGTTACAACATATTTAGGATAACAGAACAAATATCTGAAGGGACAGTGTAAAAAAGACAGAGCCAGGCTATTTCGGTGGTTAGTGACAGGACCAGAGGCAATGGGCACAAACTGAAACACAGGAGGTTCCCTCTGAACATAAGGAAACACTTCTTTTACTGCAAGGGTGACTGAACGCAGGTTGCCCAGAGAAGTTGTGGGAGACTCCATCCTTGGAGACAGTCAAAAGCTGTCTGGGCATGGTTCTGCACAAACTGCTCTAGGTGGCCCTGCTTGAGCAGGGGGCTTGGACTAGATGACCTCCAGAGGTCCCTTCCAACCTCAGCCATTCTGTGGTTCTGTGAAATATCCCATTCACTTCTGTTACTATGTTTGACAAATTCCTATGTAGTAGGTAGAGCAAGTTAATAATAAATACATTAAGATATTAAACCCACGCATAATCTGTTTAGGTTTTTTTTATTTAGGATAAAAGATACAATGAATTTTGTTCCTTGTTCCCCACTCATTAGGTTGTACTTACATATACTATAAATAAGGGAGTAGCAAGATCTCTTAAACTGTAGGACAGACATCTGAAGGAAAAATTAACACTTGGGTTACTTAAACTCAGTCAGATGTTCCCCTGGAGCGTATGTTCCTTTTGTTACTCTGCTTGTGGATTGTAGGGAATTGGGTGTGAGAGTCAAAGTTACTCTTTTCAAACCTGCGATGACACTTTTGCACATAATGTGATAAAGGCTTTCTAAACACAATGTGGAAGATGTAATCATATTGAAAACATGTGAAGAGCTATCCTACGGGGGCATTTCAGTGGACTAGATTTTCTTCTAGAATTCACTTAAACCCCTATAAATGTGAGGCATAACAAAAGAGAGAATGATATACATGCTTTTTTACCCTTTAGTCTGGAATAATGTTATGTTATAGAAACGCTTAGAACATTGCATGTACTTTTGTGTTCATTTACTCGGGTTTCATCATGAAATACTGATGAACATGTAATATTCTGTACACGTCAAGAAAAGATGCTTACTGGTGAAAAATCAAAAGACAAAACCAAACTGATCTGGGCATCTGGGGCTGACAAGGGAGAGTTCATCATGAAGAAAAGGAAATGGCAGTAATGTGAGGAGGATAGTTGAAGTCTTTGAACATCATATACCCCAAAGCTGGGACTAAGTGGTTGGAGACAACAGCAGTAGTTCAGTATTGGCAGTGTGCAAGGATTTAGCAGAGAGGAAATGAGCTTCGTGATCCTCAGATTAGAGGTAAATACTAAAAGAGGTTATAACAGGGAATGCCAGTCCAAGAAAGACTGGCCAGTTCTGCTGATCAGCTGAATCTGTTGGATCTTCTTTCAACTTCCTCTCAAAGATCCAGCTATAGGATCACACAGTTGCCACACTGTGCTGGCAACTGACATTAGCAACTGGCTGGCGGAGAATATTAATCATATTAAGATACATTTGCTTCCAGAAGAGGCAATTATATGCAGTCTTTTGATAACAAATGACTTTTGAATAGTACACTTCTTCATGGAAAACTTTCTCATATTTCAAAAGTAAATAAAACTAAATAATTTCACATTGGTCTCAGTGCTAAATAAAAGCTGAATTTCAGTCTGAATTGAAGTGAAATTCTGTCTGTTGTTTTCTGTTGTGGTGGAAAGTTGAAAAATAAATATTTCTGACTACCAGAAATACAAAAGCTGTACAATTTTTTTAAATCCAAAATACTCGGTCAGTTCAATATGTGTTGTGATAAACCCCCTAAAAGATGGATGATTTTTTTTATACAGCTATAGTCTGTGTAATCATATGGACTTGTAGCTGTTGCATTTGTTTTGCTCTTGCTTATGATTCTTTTTATTATCAATTATGTCTTATCTGAATTAAATTATTAGCATGTAGACTGCTTCTTACTTGGTGTTTGTACAATACATAACATAATCATCCCCATTCTTCCTTCAGATCTTGGGATGCAAAAAATAAAACAAAAAAAAAATCCTGCCTTCTGTTTTCTATACAGAGAAATTGTGCAGTCTCTGTCATTAGAGATTTTTTCAAGACCTGACTGAATAAAGCCTTGGGAAACCTGATCAGTCCTCAGAGCTGAACAAGCTTTGGGCAGGACGTTGGACTAGAGACCTCCTGAGATCCTTTCCAACCCAAAGTATCCTATGATCCCAGTCGTCTTAATTTTGACAATTGCCCTGCCAGTATGAGGTGTGTTATGGTAGCATAGTACATCAGTAGGAAGTGTGTTGCTGTGCCGTACAGGAGCTCTTGAAAATCATCAGAAACTTGATTTAAAAAGAATAAATCTGTTTTTAAAGAATGGTTTACTGTACCATGTTAAAGTTAAGATGTTACTCAGGAAGTTAATGCATATTGGTAAGGGAATCCAAGTCTCTGAATATGTTATTAGGTAGGCAGAGGTCAAACCCACCTTTCTTTACTGGTGTGAATAGGCTCATATGTGGTCTTGAGCTCTGAAACTTGTAGTTTCTCAAGCCTGAGCGGAAATCCAGACTGATAAATTTGTTAAATATTTATGTAATTATTTCTTCTGTATTTCATTTAATCTCCCACCATTTGTGTTTCTTTTTTTGTTTTCTTTCTGTGAAAGGCCAGTGTGAACCAATTACTCTGGAACTCTGTATGAACTTGCCTTACAACTATACTTATTACCCAAACTACCTGGGCCACAGGACGCAGAAGGAAGCCTCTATCAGCTGGGAGTCTTCTCTTTTCCCAGCCTTGGTTCAGACCAACTGCTACAAATACCTTATGTTTTTTGCCTGTACAATCTTAGTTCCGAAATGTGACCCCCATACAAATCAGCGGATCCCACCTTGCAGGTACTATGCTATAATTCATTTAATTCTTGACTGATATTGTCTGTCATGTTAGTCTTTCCCAATTTTCTGTTTCCATTGAAAATGCCAGAAACTTTGCTTTGGAATTCCCTAGCAAAAAGTAGAGAACCATATTTTATAAGATCATTAAATGCAGTTTATTACACGTGTGTGATTAGTATCTGAAGTATTCAAAACAAGGAGAGGAATAGCAGTTCAATAATTTTCAAAATGTATATATTGAATAGAATAGACTATTTTGGTTGGAAGAGGCCTACAACGATCACCTAGTCCAACTGCCTGACCAATTCAGGGCTGACCAAGTTAAAGCATGTTATTAAGGGCATTGTCCAAACGCCTCTTAAACGCTGACAGGCTTGGGGTATCGACCACCTGTCTAGGAAGACTGTTCCACTGTTTGACCACCCTCTTAGTAAAGAAATGCTTCCTAATGCCCAGTCTAAAACTCCCCTGGCGCAGCTTTGAACCATTCCCACACGTCCTATCACCGGATAGGACATATTCTATCCTAGTCACGTTAGCCTGTAATGACATGGAGATTACATTATCTGTGTATTTAAGTAGTCTCCAGCTGACTTTGGCGTTGTTTCAAAATTGTGACAGATATGTATGAAGAATAATCCTGGTCAAATCTCATGCCCCTTGTGTGTTGGCATCAATTTAGGCATCCCATTACTGTATTTGAATTGGGAGAGTAAAGAGATATTTTAGTTAACTGCTAAATATGCTTCATGTTCTTAAAAAAGTGCTAGATTGAATTCCATTGCAGAAAATTACACATTTCTATGCTACATTTTTTTTTTTACCTTGTATTTCTTTCTCCTTCAAGAAGGAGATTTCTCTGCTTTGTTATGTGTGCTCTTGTTAACTGTTAACTTGTTAGATTGATTCATAGACAATACCACAGATGAGATTTGACTGATAAGTAAATAAAGTCAGCTGTTACCAAGGTATTCTGATACCCCAACTGTGAGACTCGGTATGCGAATGTGGGAAGCATTAAAAAAAAAAAAAAGTACCAATTGCTCTTCCAATTTTCCTATCAGTATTGCAGTAGGCTTCCATATGTGCTGTGATGGGCACTACTCTGAAAATTATCTACATTTTAATTCTTTAACCAGACTGACAACTAAATGGCTTGCAATAGCTTTTGGAAAGGGTCAGCTTTGGCCAAAGATTTGAGTGTGCAGAGAACAGAGGACAGAAATGGCTTAGATGTCTCAGCTAACAAAATCAAATTTTTAAAATGTATTCATCATATTATTGTGGTTGGTTTTAGATTTTGTCATTGGTAAATAAAAATTCTGGCATTCAGAAAGCTGAGGTTATAAAGTGGTGGTTGGAGTCAACCTTTTCGATATTGAGAAGGATCTAAAAGGAAAGAGAGAGTCTCTAACTGTAGCATGGTTAACCAATGTGAATCCATTCATCCATTCCTTCCAGCTGCTCAACTCAATGGTGAATCATTTGGCGTGGAAAAACATTGTCTCTTCTTCATGCAATCCCCCCCGCAAAAAAATTAAAATTGAGAAGATTAATAATGTATTGTTTTCTCAAAAGAGCATAAAATAATTGATCTTAAATGGATCTGTTCGCTTGGTTTTGGTCACGGCATTTCTTGAAGCTGATTGCAGGAAAAAAAATGGTCCATTGGTCAAAAGGTCAAAGGAAAATGAGTGGAATAAAATTACTTCCACGAAAGGACTGTCTGTTCCTAGAAGAAAGATCTGGAAAAAATTAATCAAATTAAATAAAAGGCAAATTAAAAGTGACATGAAGGAAACTGGAAAAAAATAGAAATGGGTGGGATCCTACTGTTGAATATTTTTCAACCTATAAGAACAAAGGAGAATTTCTTTGAAACAGTAGGAGAAAGTCCAAATGATTATAGGTTTAGAAAATATGATCTAAAAGGTGCAATTAAATGAGTTGCTGAGTTTAGAAACAAGAGAAGACTTGGGGAGACATCATAGCCTTCAAATAGGTAAAAATGAGCTTCTGTGAGAAAATAAATTGTTCACCATGGTCACTGAGGTTAAATCAGGAAGCAATGGATTTAAAGTACATCAGGAGAGCTATAGGTCAGATATAAGGAAAATAATAGATACCTGTGTATGAGAATGAGTGATAAGGAAGTATATGAAATCTTGCTGACTGAAGAGTTTTTAAGAACAGCTTAGACAAATACCTGTTAAGCATGATGCATGTTTCTGTTTGGAGGAAGAGATGAAAAGGATGTTGAGGTTCCTAATCCCATACTGCCTAGTTAATATTCCACAAAAATAAAAAAAAAGAGGCAGTTGAAACAAACAGGGATTCAAAATACCACAGGTACAAGACAAGACTATTATATTGAACAGCACATCAGCTATGATTCCAGGCAAAAGTAGTTGCTAAATGTTTAAAATAATGCTTAAAATAACAGGGGATTTTTCTATTGTGCATTTTCTCTTCATACTTTTGAAGCATTTGACATTGGGTATTTTGCAAGACAGGATGTTAATGTAGATGAACACTGAAAAAATTTTGTGTGGCGCATCCTGTCTTTCTATGGTAAAAAAAAAAAAAAAAGTGCAGCAGGAGAATTATGTTCATGCCTTTTTCCAGGTGTGATGATACAAACTTCTGTTGCTCTAACTGACAACACCCTCAAGACTAGCTTGATCTGTGCTTTGATTTTCACCAAACTTTTAATTTTATTGAATTCCCTGGGGAGTTCTTCACTCTTTTGTTTGCAGGTTTAAATATTTTGTCCTTCTGAAACCGCATGGTTTCTGAGGTAGCATCATCAGAAGAGGTAGCATTTCACTGGTACAAAATGTATTTGGCTTTTTTTCCTGAAGGAGGACAGTTAGTGCTTCTTAAATAAGGTTCTCTGCCATCCCTTACAGAGGAGAGGAAGTTTGTAAGTAGTTATATTTGGCTATTATAACTCAGGTAATAGTCTGCATACAATAACTTAAAATAACGTTTCAACAGTAGCAACATATCTTTTGGGTTTTTTTTTTTTTTTTTCATTTAAAGAAATCTGATTAACTGATTTTTCCTTGATCTTCATCTTTAACTTTGGCTAGGATTATTAACTTCCAATAACTGGGAATTTTTAAGACTGTCACTCAGTTACTTTGTGCAATTCCACTCTGTCTCCTCAGGACATTATGTGTACAGTCTAAGGAACGCTGTGAGTCTGTACTTGGGATTGTAGGTCTGCAGTGGCCAGAAGATACTGACTGCACTCAGTTTCCAGATGAGAACTCAGACAACAAAACTTGTCTCACACCAGATGAAGATGTAGAAGGTAACTCCTATAAATACATATAACAGGAAATTAAAGATTTAATTAGGTTCCCGAAGTCACTGATTTTTTTCCCATACCTCCTCTTTAAATTATAATATTTAAACTGTGAAAACGATTCCAAACTGAGTTTCAGGGAATTTGAATACCTACAGTTTGCAAATAAGAGGAAGTTCTCATAAGAAATCTATTAGAAGGAAGGATCAATTACCCTCAATCTGTGAAAGTCAGCGTTTGAGATTTGTTGCTAACACCACACCTACTGCTTGCTTGTGTTTATACTTCACTTTTTTACCTATTTAGATGATATAATAATGCTTTTCTAACCATGAGACAGACTCTTGGCAATCTTATCAAAGCTGAGCCCCTCGACAGCTCTGAGAAAAATATTGTAATGTTAGTGTCTTTGCCAGCTACTGTTTGCTCTTGGTTTTTGTTTGGGAAAAGTTTTGTAGAGAATTGTGCCAAACCAGCTTCAGTAGCAACTGACAAATTTTGAGTTCAGCTTAATACTAATCATTGTGGGTGTGAACATGGAACAAAAGAATGACATTGCCTTAAATGCTTCTAGATATTCTTTGTATGTGTGAAGAGAAGAGCTGTGCAGCTTCTCCTTCTACAGTGGTCATTGGATGTGAGGTCTGTGGGAATTCTGACATGCCTTTTCTTTTTCTTGCCAAAACGCCAGTAAAGTAGCTGAGAAAATAGTGAGATGGTGTGTGCTACAGTTCAGTAGCACACAGTGATTGTGTTCAGTTCTCACTCTTCTCCTACTTACCTACATGGTGATGATGGTCTTTCCACAGTCTTGATCTTGCTCAGAGAAAGCAATGGGTGAAAGCTAGTTAGTCTATAGTTCTTTTAGTGAAGATGTATTGCTGTGAATATAGTGAAGGAATCATGAAAAAACAGTGAAGTATATGTAGCAGTTAATGCTATTTCTTCAAGCAAAGTCCATGTGCACATATATCACTGTGAAGATTTTATAAAGATGTGTAATACCATGGTAATGAAATCCTCTGTCGTGGGACTCTTGAGAGACAAGGAGATAATTGCCCTCTACAGCAGTAGGCTGATGGAAAGGAATTATCCATTATTACACAGCAGTCTGTAGGAAAGGAAAAGTAAGATTTTGGCACAACAAGGTGAGTTAAAGAAAAATAATGTGATTTAATTTTCTCAGGTATCAAATGTCTTTTAACCTTCCTCCCTGTGTTATTAGATCATTTGGCTTTGAAATGTAACATAGAGTGGTTATATTTTAAATATACTACTGCATACAGGACTAGTATGTTCCATTTCTAGAGATAAATTCTGTTCACTTATAAAAACTATAATTTAAAAAAAAAATCATTTTAATTAGAGGGACTCTGCCTAGTAAGCTGATTCACTGCTTATTGATCATCTTAGCACTGAAATAGATATTCCTGGAAAATCAATGAAAAAGGAGGGTTTTTTAGTATTCTTTTAGAAACAGTGTAACTAATTAAGGGGTTTTATCAGAGTTGTTTTGGGTTCACTTACTGCTAGAATTTTATATTGATTCAATGCCAGATTTCTACAGATTACCAATGTTGGTTAGAAAGTCTTCCCTGGGAAGTTTAAAATCTTAAATAAATATTTCTGAAAAAAACACATGTAACAAAAGAAATTAAGCTTCTGAGAGCATTTAAAATGTTTATGATTACAAAATATAGGTGATTTTCCAACTTAAGCTATAATTGACAGAGTTATTACAATGTGCTGAATTGCTTAACTTCTCTTCCAGTCAGTGCTGAATCCAAGAATACTGCTGGCCAAGACAGTATGCATTGTAAACTTAGTTATTTTCATAATGAGTTATTCTTAAATGTTGGAAGTATAGTTCACATACCTTTTATCATTAGAATGTTATTTTCTAAGGCTCCCGAGTTGATTGACGATACTTTTGGTACAACTGTTTATTGAATCCTAAAATTTACCCAAGGAACTGCATGGTATTAAATACCTGAGAGATTTTGCAGGAAGGGAAAAAAAAAAAGGCAACATATGATGGAGGTTGTACATCAAAGTCAGTGACATGTACAGCGTGAAAAAAAGGGTGGGTTTTTCAAAACCATCTAAATAAAGCTTTCTCAAAATGTTAATCTGCAAGATGAGGCAGAAGCGATGTAAGGGTTAATTAGTGGACATTTGTAGGTGGTTTTATTAATTCAAGTAGCCACACAATTGCCAAAATATATATTTTTTTTATCCTGGGAATCTCTTATACACATTTCAACACATCAGATGATCTATTTCTGCTTCACACAACACCACAACAGTGAGAAAAGTAGCTAGAAAATCCATGCCCACAATCTAAACATTGCATGCCAGTTGTTTGGCAAAGCTTTGAAATTTGACAGAGGGTGGCATGTGAGGGAGAGCTCTGGAAAATATCGCTCCACCCCATTCACAGTGCAATTGTTAAGAGTCTTGCCTGCTACATAATTCCAGTTTAGTATTGCACAAGCTTTCTATTCCTGTCATTTACCCTTCCGAAACAAGTCACAGCGATAAATAAGTAAGTACACGTGATGACTAAGCTTGCAGCTTATGGACTCTTGTTTCTCCCTGTTCTGTGTCATTGACAGAATGCTCACCCAGTCACTTCAAGTGCCATTCTGGGAGGTGTGTCCTGGCATCCAGAAGATGTGATGGTCAAGCTGACTGTGAGGATGATAGCGATGAGGACAACTGTGGTAAATAAATTCGATGAGTTGGATCTTTTGAATGGAGAGTAGTTGAAGCATTAGAAAATGAGTTTTGTTTTTCTTTCAGTTATTTGAACCATAGCATGACAGTTCAGAGGATAAACCCCTTTTTCTGTAAGAAAAATATGTTTGAAAGTGGTTTTTTTACTAGTGACAGTAAAAATACTTTAGCAAGCATCCTTCTTGATTAACGTCAACACAATTTATGCTCTTTTATCATTTAGATTCTGCTAACCGTATTCCAGGATGTTTGAGTATTCCTTTAATAATCAAGATAAAAAATGCTGCAGGTTTAATTCTTTTGATATTGCTGGAGGTTCTACTGAGCTAAAATGTGACTTCCTGGCAGTTTAAATCTTGAATTCATAAATACAGTTTTAAATTTATACATGATAATATTTTCATTATGATGTATAGATCTGTGTTGCTGAAGTGGATTCTGTACTGCAAGGATCAAGAATTACATGTTTTTTCAGATTGGCCAATCTCAAGCTGTAGGTACAAGGATAAAGTGGTAACCACAAAGTTTATTCTCCAGTGTATTTCTGAATTTACTTACGGTAGAGATGCTCTTGACTTTAAACTTAAGGGGATGTATTGAGCTTGAGAATAACTAATAAATCTCTTGGTTGCTATTTAACCTTGTACGTGCTGGCAGGAGAATTTTGAGAAGGAAAAGGGAGTTTATACTATTTCTTTACGTGACTAAGGTAGCAGCCTCCATGGAGTTCTGCATGCTGGCCTGGCATCCCTAGGGGCAAAGAGAATAATTGTAAATCACTAAGGATTTAGAGAAGAGGTGTGAATATGAGTAAAGGATTGGAAAACATTCCAGCAGAGTAGGGCTAAGGTGCACAACCTGTTTTTTTTAACAGAGAGCAGGTTAAGATGGAAGCACAGTTTGTGAGCAACAAACTTGTGTCAATAAAAGACTTTCTACTCAGCTGCACAAAAATAAAATAAGATCCAAGACCTGAAAGCTGAAGCTAGGCTAAAATTCCAGCTCTATAAAATGCTTCTTTTTTTTTAAGAGCAGGTTTTTTTAATGATTGAAGTAACCAGGGGGTCATTTATCGCTAAGGCGCAATGTATTCTCAATCTCTAGGACTTTTCAAATCACGCTTGTGTTCTCTCTCCTCTTTCTGCCCCATTCCCCTCCCCCTGCAAAAAGAAAGCAAAAAGAAAAAAAAGACATGCTTGCTGAAACAGGATTTAATACTAGGTCATTCTCTTGTTTGGATTATAAAGGAAAGGCAGAGCTGATGAACACAGTGACTCTTTCAGAGTTTGTAATCTCTTTACCTTTGAATCAATTGTCTCAGTTGTCCTCCCTGCCAAATATTCTTTGTTGCCACCTGTTCTTAACTCCTTAGAACACTAACTGCTATGCGTCTTTTAGGATAATTTTATTCTCCTAAACACTAACATATGAAATATTGCTCTAATATATAACATTCATTTCTCGAGTGGATCTCTCTCTGTCTCTACAGTCTAGACAGAATGTCACTAGCAATCAGCAGAATTCTTATCAGTTTCTATAAATATGGAAGACTGTATCTGCTAGGAAATTACTGCTGTCAGTGTGACATTACATTGACCAGGGGTAATGTTGTTACTGAAAAACAGAAAGTCCTTGTAGAGCTCCAGAAGTAACTGTCTCCAACTCATTCATATTCCATGTGTGCAGGGCAAAATCAAAACTTGATGATCTTTCCATGTGTAAATGGCTAGCTCACATTTTATTAGATTAATCCTTTGAAATTGCTTTTATATCATTAAATAACAGTCAGCATTTAAATTACAAACCTTGTATTTGAAGTACCTTAAATGACAGGCATGGAACAACTTCACAGTGCAGGGAGGAGGAGGCTGGAAAAGACTAGCTACAGCTTTTGGATGCTCAAGCTACTCTGGCCAAAAACAGAAGGTGGAACAGTCCAAAGGGACTAAGGTATATTCTGCCCATGCAGAGCAGAGCTGTATTCAGCACCCACTGTCTCCTCCTGTTAGGAATCCCTGTCATACTTTCATGTGATCTTTGTCAGAGGAAATGTCACCCATGCAATTGCAGTGAAATCCTAAGACTTTAGTGCCATTTAGACTAGGATTTGGGGAGAAAATTTGACCCAGATTTCTGAATGTGCGACTTCTGAGTGCATTTCAGTAAAGTGTGAGGAAGTTAATTTCTGAAAATTAGCATTATTATGATAGACATCAAGGGAGTTTGTGGTATTAAATATGCTTGATTGTAATTGATCATATTAATTTATTGGCTGCTGAACAATGCCTCTGGCAGAGAGCAGAAGAGGGTCCTAGAAGAGTACTAAAGAAATTGGAGACATAACATTCAAAAACAGTATTGTCCTTCACTATTTTCTGTAATCTGAGTTCTGACTGTAGTATTTTAGTTGAGAGAAAAATGTGGTGGTCTTAATGTTATCAACTTGTTATCAACTAATAATAATTGCATGGGGAATATACGTGTGAATAACAGATGGTAACTTGCTTCAAATTTTGAAGAAGAATGAAGGTAAGATCACATCGGAATCCCTATCTCTTGCCAAAACGTATGTTTGAGATGGGGGTAATGTAAATATGGACAAGTTTTTCTACCTCCATTTTCACTTCCATTTCATCGTCATTAAATAAAAAATGTATGTCACAAAAATATTTAGAGAAGAAATATAAATACACCAAATGGTAGATGGCTTCTACCAACAAAACAGTATATTTGAACACTGAATTCAGTAAGTAGTGAATTTTTCCTAGGGAATTGTCTCTATTGTACTCAAAGATAAATTTTGGAGAGTCATAGAACACTTCACAGTGTAACACTATAATGTGTGATGAAGGGGAAAAGCAAACATGTATTTTATTAATTGTAAACACTGCTAAAAAATTGCAATGTTCATAAATTATATTTTTTTAAGCTTTTTTATTTTATTTTCATATCAAGTTCCTAACATGACTGATATTCTTTGTTCTTTATTAGAGTAAAATTTTGTTTGGTTTCAATTAATTTTTCATTAATAGTTATCACAAATATTGTTGAGAAGGAGACCCGGAAAATGGTGATACCCAAGAAAGTTCTTTGATCGTGTGGGATTAGTTTCACAGGTTCAAGGCTATTTATTTCTCTGTGCTGTAACATTTATTTACATGGCTTTTTCAGTCTAAACAAAATCAAGCACTCCACACATCCAGTTACAATTAAAATGTGAGTAGATTTTACCAGTAATCATATGAGCTAGTGATTCTCTGGTTCATGTTTGTAAAATATTCACTTCTGAAATAACACTTCTTGGAAACAACATATCTGGTTAGTAACTTACTGCTGATACGCTGCAGTAGTTCCAGGTCCAGGCAAACAGAGATGCTGCTTCAAATGCAGTTTGTGAACTTATACCTCAACTATTTGCGTGTGGGGACATCAGGGCTGTCACCTGAATTTGAGCTTGGATTAAAATGAAAACTAGCATTATCATCTATAGAACAGGCCAAACAAGGCAATCAAACCATCTGTTTTAGGCAGGAGAACACGTTGTTTTTATGGCTTCCTATAAAACCAGAATGTCAGATGTGCAGGACATTAGTATGTCGAAGTATTTAAACTGGTATCACAGTGAAGTGCTTTATTAGTTGATGGAAATAAATAGTGAAACAAAACAAGAGAAAACATTTTTCTAAAATGTACTTTGGGCCATTCTTAATTTCCTCTAGCTGACTAACAGGAATTTTCCTGTCAAAGCACTTTGACACAGTTTTATAAGTATTCCTCTTGAAATCAGAGAGGCTGGTTAGCAGGACATTGAAGAGACGATAATGCAGTGTGTTCCCTGCATAATAACGAACCCTCTTGAAGATTCATACAGCATTAGGTCATTCTAATATTTTCAAACTGGTTTGGTCTCAGATTATGGAACCAGGAAAACTGTTTGTGATCAATACTTACAGCATCTCTCTGCCTTTCATTGTGATCTGCATTAGATTCTGTATCAGCACTGCCAGAAAAAAAATACATATTTCTCATTATTATTTAAAAAGCACTGAAGTATTATGCAGTGTTATATGTTTTATACCCATTTATCAAGTGTGCACTGTGACAATCTTATTTCCATTTCCTCGTTAGTAACTATTCTTGGTACCTTTTAAAATTTATATTGCAAATGAAATTATTTTGGGTGTTTCAGGGTTATTAAGGAAGAATAAAACAGTTGATTTGATATTGCATGCAAGTGTTTCAAAACTGTACTTCTCTGCCTCCAGGTTGCAGAGAAAGGGGTCTTTGGGAGTGTCCTTTGAAGAAGCTGTGCATCAAACACACTATGATCTGTGATGGTTTCCCAGACTGCCCTGACATGATGGATGAAAAGAACTGCTGTAAGAGTTTATGCAGTTTTAACAAGTTTAATAGTTAACAGTTTTAACAGTTTATCAGCCCATAAAGGGCTGATCACATTTTTGGGATCTTGGGGTGCAAAATAAATGGAAGTAAAAAGGTTTCCTACAGACAGAAAGGCTTAGTCATTCCCTCAGTTTCCTTTTCAGTTTTGCTATGGCACCAATTTATCTCTTTCCTCATCTTGTCCTCTGTTGTTCACATCCTTGGATCCTTGCTGTCCCCTTGGTCACTCCAGTCCTCTCTCTTTTTTTTCTCTCTCTCCCTCCTCCTTCTTGTGTCTTTGTGCTTCTTTTCTTTATTCCTTGTAGCTTCTTGACTCCTTTTCCCGACTTTTCTCAACTTCATTCCATATAGGTATAGCTGCTCACTGCTCTTTTTTCCTTGATTTCCACTTGATTTTCCTTCTGATCTGTTCTTCAGTAAATCTCGTATGTGTCCCTGCTTTATTTGATTTCTCTTCTGCTTGACATTTCTTAGATTCTGTCTCCCCACTTGGCTCCACAGGCTTCTTCTACAATCCAAACTGTGATAAGTATCTGAGATAGATACAAAACTTAGTATGGTACACTGACAGTATGGGCATACTGTCCATGCGCACAGTGTAAGTTGGCTCAAAGTGCTGACAGTGAGCAGTAGGCCCCCTGGTCCTCTGCAGGAACTGCCCTGTATTCTGTTTCCACTGCGCAGCTGAACAGCGGGATGGGAAGAGGTGGAAGACCTGTGAATGGTAGCTGCTTTGCAGGCTCCCACCCTGCATGCGAAGCTGGGAGTGGGTGCCGTGAGATGTTAGCCTCGCTTTTGTGAATATATTAGTGGTACTCTGAATTCTCTTCTTTTGAGAAAACCTGGTGTGTGGGCGTGTCCCCAAGACAAGGAACTGAAAAGGACATACTGGGTGACACTCAGCCTGCACAAGAAAGAAGAGATGCTCGGTAAACTTGGTTGAAAGCTGAAATTTAAGTTCTCTAGGCAATTCCGGTATTTCAGCATTTCTGCTGGGACTGTAGGATATAATTTCACAATTTAAAAAAAGCTGCTCCTGAGTCTCTGGAGTTCTGTTGGCAGGGACAGGATGGTAGGCACATTTTATGTGCTATGTGGAGTATATGAATATGTTTGCCAAAATGATTGGCAGCCTGCATATATCAGTAGATCTAACTTTGTTTCTTTTTGGGAAGAGGCAGCTCACAGAACGTTTCTTAATCTGGTTTTCATCATGAAGATTATACCATCTGACTTCCAAGCGGTCTGTGTTCTATAATCTAAAAAACAGGAAGGTGGTATTAAAGTGATTTGCTCATGATCACACATTAAGATCATGGCAGAGAAAAGATTCTCCGACGGCTTAGGTTAAGCTAGTCTGTAGTTGTCAGACTGTATTTCCTCTCTGCTTTTGTGTCAGGGGTTGAATATTCCAAAATGGCAGCAAAGTTTCCCCAGCTGAGGGCTTCCAGCTTCTGAAACATGCTGTCTCTGGAAGGCAGAGTTAGAGAGCTTTTTCTAGTTTTGCACACTTTATTCCAGAGCCAGAAAGATCACATATGTCAGAGTAGGCAGCACTGCCTGCTCTATTGGTATGGTTTTTGCAGTGGAGTACATTTTTTGCACTAGTGTTGCAAATAAATGCTTGGTTTGTATGGCAGTATAGATGCTATACAACAGCCAGACATAGGCACAACTGAATGCAGCTTTCTTCCATGCATTCTCTCCCTCTCCGCCCTGCCCCAGCTCTCAAAAATTCCCTAATGATGGGGTTTATAGAAGCTGGAAGAGAACTGTGTTAGTAAGGAGGGTACTGTAATGCCACACACCTGCCTTTTGGGAGGGTTTTTTTTATGATTGGGGGAAAGCTAAACGCCACCTGCAAATGGAAGCTCTTGTGGTTCTTGCACCGGACAAAGATTCAGGAAATCCCTATCTAATGCTGCCAGCTGGCAACCAACTGTGAGCTGGAGCATGTCTATCTGTACATCAGTTCCCCATCTCTGAAGTGGAGATAAAAATAATTCCATGATTTTAAATAGCAAAGGAGGGTCCAAAAGTGAATATAGAATTGCTGTGGATGAAAGCAAATACATATGCATTACAGTAAAATATTATTTCCAAAGAACATGAAGAATAAACAGTTTTGGAGCAGTCTCCTAAACAGCATGGAACACTTAAAGATTGTGAGAGGCTTAGACAGGTTTCATGTGACAAGACCACAAATGATACTAAGTAATCACAGATCTTGCCATTTCGAGACACCCTTCCTTGCCCTTTGAGTTGTGATGCCCTCTGTAACTGTGTGACAGCAACCACCTTCTGCCTCAGTGATGCCCATCCTGAATTTTGTTGCAAATCCGTCTCGCTTTCTTGCTCCATAAATCTGATCTGTGCCTATCTTCACCCTCCTTCTCACTTTTTCAGTCTCAATGTGAACCTCACATTGATCATTTCTTTCTCGGAGTGAAATGTGTTTTTGTCCTTGCAGCATTTTGTGAAGAGAGTGAACTTGAATGTGCCAACCATGAATGTGTGCCACGTGAGCTCTGGTGTGACGGGCAAGCAGACTGCAGTGACAGCTCAGATGAATGGGACTGTGGTAAGTTTCTGCCGTGACGCACTCTGCCTGGAAGTGATGCTTGGGTGATGCTAGTAATCACTGGTGATTTGATTTAGAATATAGTTGCAGTGGTGGAGAGAAGCTCCCTTTATTACCAAAAGGAGACTGGGTTGAGGTTGGGAAAGCATGGAGGAAAGCGGGCAAAAGAAAAAGGAAAGTGAAGTGTCACAGTGCAAAGATAGAAGAAAAGTGATATGGCAGGGAACTTCTAAAATGTGTAGATGGTGTGTAAAATCTGGGAAGTGTTTTGGATAGAAGAGAGAGTAGGAAGATGTTCAGGTATAGAATTCATTTGGGCAAAACTTCCAAGCCCTGATTCTGTACTTGTGAAAATTGGTGTGAAATTCCCACTGACTGCAATGGTGCAGGTCCAGAGCTTACGAGAAGATAGTCCTACTAGGTCCACTTTGCACTGGCTAAATACCTGCAGAATGATGTAACCTGCTATTGCTGTCTATATTTGGATTAGGCTTCATGCTTTTATGTGTTGTTCAAGAAGAACTCTCCAGTATTATTCTTTAAATAAAAATGAAGGTGGATTTCAAAATAATTGCACTGAAAAGAAGCATGTTGGAAAGTGGTAGTATGTCCTCTGAGATTTCACTGAGTTAACATGTATTTCTGTACATGACAGTAGTTTATATTACTAAGTTTTGAGATGCTTTGTATGTAATTTTAAATACAGAAAAAAGGTGTACCGTGGCTTACAGAAGCAAGTATTTTGTATTCCTGTTGAAGTAGATTGCATAAATATTTTAAGACATTGAACATGGTGTGAATATTAATAAACAACAGCATTTAATAAAACCTACGCAACAGAGAAGAACTGTTCTAGAAATGCATATTTGAATGGAGTAATCTAGGATTAATACATACCTTTCTCAAGGAGAGAAGCAAAAGCACCTTCAACATATAGGAAAAATGCGTAATGTCTGGCTATGTTAAGATTAGAACTATCAAAGCAAAGGTCAGAGGAACAGTTTAACTAAATCAGTATGTATTTGGGGAAGAAATGCACACAACACAACATCCCAACATCTTTTAAGGGATCCTAGAAAGGGAGGGATGTAAATTTCCATTTTGGGCCATTTTGAGAAGCTTTTGTGTGTGATAAAAGCAGTCCACACACTTTTATACATGAATTAAGAGAGAAGCAATGGTCACGATCTTTCTTGTAAACAGTAATTGTTTTTTCTTTCTCTAATTACACCCACATATTGTTATGACAGGAACAGTGCATATTACCGAAAGTCAAATGATGGTATCACTCTTATGTCAAGCAGCATTCATCCCACAAATTACTTTAGTGATTTCAGTTGGACTATTTGTGGGGTAAAACATCATTTAACAAGATTAAGGCTATCAGAAACCCATGTGAACCTGTGCTGGTGAGTCAAGAGTATTCTGGTTTATTCTAATCCTCGAGATGCCTTTGTTGTTTAGTGTCTCATGCTGTTGAATGTTAGCAAGGTTCTGATAGGCATGGTTGCCTTGGTTTTAGGTGACATAGCTACTGAGTGTATAAAATCAGCAAAAGTGCTAGCATGTTGGAAAACTCTTTTGAATGTAGTTGTATGTTTGCCTCAGTCTTTAGCAGGCAGACTAGTTATCCTCAGGGTACTCGGCGCCCTGAGCTGGAAAACAGGGATGGCGAGCAGGATGAACCCCCCATAATCCAAGAGGAAGCGGTCAACGACCTGCTACGTCATCTGGATACTCACAAGTCTATGGGGCCGGATGGGATCCACCCGAGAGTGCTGAGAGAGCTGGCGGAGGAGCT